TGGGTTATAATTGCCTCATCTTTTCAGAGTTGTTATGTGTATGTGTATGCATGTAAATCACAGGAGGGGGACTGAAGTCCATTCAAACTGGAAGTCTGTATTCTCAAAGAGGCAGTGGGTGGAAACAGAGCTCAGATGAATTCCACGGATAAATAAAAAAACAGGTTTAAAACCTGGTACACAAAGGGGAACATCAAGCAGAGAACTCTGCACCTACAACTTCTCAAATGAAGTCATAAAGCCTCTGAACATCATCAAGTAGCATTTGCCAGATTGTGGAGAAAGTCTGAAGTGACTTCAGATATTCTGAGAACCTCAATCGTGACTGTAAGTGACTGCTAGCTACGTAACATACTAAGGACAGACTTGGTAATGACGCATTATGCAAGGGTAAAACACAAAGAAATGGAAGACATGCATAAGCTCTGTCAGTTCATGAACCAGACTGCTTCAACAAGCTCTTCTGCATATTGTTCACACAATAACATAATTGTTTTATTTTTCGTTGTTATACTTCCTTTTAACTGGTTGAAGACAGGATCCTCCATATGAAATGTAGGTATGAGCAAAAGGGGTATTTATTTCCTTGCTGCATTAGGAAGCTTTAAAACACAAAATAACCCCGCAGTCCTGACTCTGGAAGCATATATGCACATCATCCCTGCTACAAAAAGTACTTTTAAATATAAAAAGCAAGAGTGTCAATAAACATTTGAAAGTGACTGGAGGTGCACCTTGGAGCTCAGAGAACAATTTATGCTTTCAGAGGCTACAGCCCAAGCCTTCCTGGCCATTCCAAAATGCCGCAGAATGTATTTATGAAGCCATGGTAAAAGGTCTACAGAACCGGCTCAAAAGTAATGCTTTGAGTCAGCTTTTGCAGGTGAGATAGTGACATCCAGTGGCGAGTCTGGTTAACTGTAATGATCTCTTCCCCCGATGCACAGAAAAAAACCACTCCTTTTCTTTTGTGGAAACACATTAAAATATTTAAAACGTATTTAGAAATATTAAAAACATTTAAATAAACAAATATACACAATATGTGAGTTTCTTAAACAGAGAAGCATACTTTGATATATTAATTGTAAAAATGGTGTGTTCATCTGCAGTGAAAAATTACATTTTGCTTCTAATTTTTAATCAAGCTTACAATAAAAGTAAGCAAAAATGTTTAGCTGTATTTAAAGAAATAGAATATTCCCTACATTACAGCTGTATTCCTTTCTATCTTGTTCACCCAAAGAATCACCACTCTTTTTCCTGACATTCCCAGTTCCTACACAAAACAGTTGAAGATTTGAGGTTATGATTCTTGAAATCCACAAAGCAATTCTCCACAGACTCTTCCTCCATTTAGGATTCACAGCCACAGCAGATCACCATCTAACAAAGCTTTCCTAAAGCAGACCCCTTCTTTTAAGCTGATAAAAAGTACTAAGACTGTTTTTCAAAGTTCTTTATTTAGAATACACACAAGGATGCAGGAGACCTCAATTTACTGTCCCTCAGTGCCTTTGGGAGATAGGTGGTTTTTTTATGGGAGATGGGGATATCCAGAACATGTATCTACTAAGCTAGCAAATACTCCTGAGGAACAGACATTCAAATTCCCTTACTGGATCTGTTCCATTTTGTCTAGAATAATGAGATTCGTTGGACCAAAAAGAGGTGAAAACACACTCCAAGCTAAGGATATGGCATTCCAGTGGATGTGGAAAAAGAAGAATTCTAGGTTCTCATTCTTAGAAACTCATCTCATCTCAGTTATTACTTTTCCATAGGGAACAAGGCCAACTTCAAATTCCAGGAAGTTTGCCAACTAAATTCTGCTAATCTATCTTTTCACAGATTTATATGCAACAAAACTACTTTCTACTATGGTAAAATTGCCAGGTTAATATTACTTTCTCCCTTTTAATGTTTTTCCACACTGGCTGACACCATGTGCTGTCGTGGAAAGACATGTTAAGGAAGGCTGAAGATTGGAGTCACTGCCTGCGAGACACACAGAACCAGTAACAAATTACCGCTGTCTCGTCTTAGTCTCCAAAAGGATCCAACTGAGCAGCTACCAGCTTTTCTGTATGCACGTTCCAAACTGAAACAGGCTCTTTTGCAAGCAACCTAAATTCAGATCTCCCAATTAAAAGCAAACATATTCCACTAGCCTTAAACATTTGGCTCTCATTCACTTATACACACAAAATTATAAATACGCAAAACAGTCTCTAAATTCACGATGTAATTATTTTGGCTTGTCAGCAAGCAGGCCCTTACATTATGTTATTGCACTATCACTTCATAAATCCAGTCACATAATGAAGAAAAGCCACACTTAATTCTGAGGGTTCCTCTTATGGTTAGAGACACGTACTTTTTTTTTTTAAACTTAGTGTTTCTTAGGCAGTTAGTTAGCGGACGACTCAGATAAAAGTTTGAGTCTTTCTGAAATGTAGAAAATGGGAATATTTTTCTGGCAAACATATATGGAAACCACATTTTTGTGTTTGTGAAAATTTATCTTCTAGAACTGTTACATTTACTTATTATAGTTTCAGTAGTCAGGGATGGTTTAAAAACACCAAGCTTACATTTTTGAAGTATACATTCTGAGATGTTTGTCCTTCAAAAAAAAAAAAAAAAAAGATATAATTTTGGAATTTGCAGCCGTTTATACCTTCATTCAGCAATACTTTTAGAAGACAAAAAAACCCTCACCATGCTAATACTTTCTAAACCAAGTATTATCCGCCTACTAGCTATCAGATTATCTCAGTGGTATCAGAAATCAACAGGTAACACACAGCTCAAATGGATTTTTACTTGCTAATTAAAAATACAGTGCCCGCCACTCACACTCTAGGGTTCTTTGTTCTTCAACTTTGTTAAAGGGCTGTAATGCCCTGGGATCTTACATTAAAGGGCAAAAATTACTCTGGTAATGCAATACAAAATGAAATACTGCCTGAAAGGTCAACTACACTGAGAGGAAGAGGAAAGAGAATTTAAGCAAGCACGGCGTTTTTTTATTTTACTTGGGATTCCCAAAGGTAGAGAGAATGTCTCTAATAAATCTTGTGCCAAGAAGAATAGCACAAAATTGGGCAATACAGAAAAAGTAATTTCTGTTATCTTGTCTATGTTATGCTAGAAAGGACAGTTGTAATTGCTGTATCTCATCAGTTTCACATACTTACAGAAGAGGGAATTTTCATTTATTGCCAACGTCACACACAAGAAAGACGACAAAATACTGAACTATTTGGGGAAAGTTTGCCTTGGAGGTACTAAACAAGGCACATTGTTCTCCATTCTGAGAGACTTGCTGCTTAGCTGCTCTGAACCACCTCATTTATTGTGAATCAAATTCATACATACTGTGAAGCCAAAAGCTATTGCTAACAGGTGGTATCTCAGTATGATGAGGTACTACAGCTTTAAGTGTGTGATACAAAAACAATTGTGCATTGATACTGTTGCAGAACAGTTCACAAGAGGAAAGTCAGGAGCACAACATTTGTGTGGTCATGCTTAGGGCCATGTATGAAAAATAGCATACCTTTCCCTATCAAATCGTAAGAGCAAAGTTGAACTTCTCTAAACCAGCCTGGGAGGACTACCATCTATCTATATAAAATCAAACAGGCCTGATCCTTGGTCCTGAAGACAGGTGCTGCAGCCTATCTTGCAGCCATTTGGATAGATTCTATTCACTCCTTCAGAACAGGGACTGTTCCCAAAAGGCACAGGCTATCTCCCAGATCACTAGAGATGTTTTCATGGAGAAGTGACAGTTGACACTAGCCAACATTGCATCAAGAGTCGCAACTGAATGGACAATTATGGGACAAAATAGCAAGCCTGCATCTATTTAGTTTCCTAATACAAAGTAGCCTAGGTGTCTGTAATTCTCGATAGAGCAATGAGTGAGGACAGCTATGCTAAGTTAATCCATGGGAAAGGTAAAGAAATGGATCCCAGACTAACACGGCACTGCCCTTCCACAATGCTGTGAAGCCCTCCAGAAACAGTTTCACTCTCTCCCTAACTAGGAGACTCGCAAACTGTGTATACATATTCATCTGCTTACCTCCCTCAGATCCCTACTTCTACTGTTGTGAAGACTATTCAACTATTTAGAATTAATTTCACAAATACATGCAAACTTAAAGACAGTTTTCCATTGTGTTCATCTCTGAGCAAAACTAAAGTCTTCTTCATTTTTACCAGTCATTTTTATTTTCAGTTATTTATTAAAAAAAAAAAGTAAAGCATAAAAAAAAGTAATCTAAAAAATAAGAACAAAATTCCATAGAACATTCTAAAGTTTCTCACCTTCCTTTCTGTTCTCCAAATAAGCAAAAAAATACTATAAAAATTACAACCAGTTTTAAGAAAAGATATTTATCTAGTGGCATTAAAATCATGAGATGTAAATTGAAAAAAAGGCAGAGATCATTTTGAATTACACAAATGAAATACATGATTTTACCAAACTGGTAATTTTTATGAGAAAAAAGAAAGAAAAAATCTTATTAAAAATTAATTCAAATTAACTCCATTTAAGATTCAATGGATAATTTTATTTATAAAATGCTACTGGCACACAATACACATAGGAAGTATGAAACTTGATTTATAAAGAAGTTTAATGCTTCACAGAAGCATGGATTCCTGAGGTATTCTGAATACAATCCCTCATTTACTGGAATTCACAACACATCTCCAATTGGCTTAAGCAGCAGAAGACTGGATACTTAATAAACACACAGTTAAGACATAGTTAAAAAATACATGTGCAAATGGAAACTGACTGGAAGATTGTGTCTCACCATTACTAAAAGCCTTGGTCATGGTGAAAACTATCTTACATTGAAGGGCTGAAAGACCTGTTAAGACTGGGTTTCTCAATTTCACGGCCAATTCAAATGTATTGTTAGATACCTGCTTTCATGTTGTGAAGTCCTCTTGACATCAGACACAAAACCATTGCTGTTTCTGGATAAACATACAGAATGACTGATTACCTCGACAGGTATTATTACAATTAAAAAAAAAAAAAGAGTGTTAGGCACTTTCACTTCTTTTTCTCCTTTTCTGCTTTCATTCTCTGCTGTAGTGTCTTCAGTTCAGTCATTACATTCAAAGTTCTGTAAACCCAGGTGACCTGAAAAGTAAGTAAATTATTAAATTTACCTAATCCACATACATTTACTTATCAATTTAATGAAAGCATCCATATAAATGAATACATACGTACCACAATTATAACAGTATTCACCAGCAGTGGTGCTGAAAATACTAATGAAATAAACATTCCTCTTGAATCAAAGTATTGGTACTTAGAAAACAGCCTGAAAGAAATAAAAAAAAGAAAAATACAAGAGGAAGCTTTATTCAGTGTAGTTCACATAACATTACACAGTAACTATTCAACATTGACATTGTACAGATTATCCTACTTCTTAGAATCCCCAAGCATAGGCCAACATTCTACTGTATTAAGTCAGAACAAAGAGACAATCTATCTCATCAATTATGAATATTTATTACAATACCAGTCTTTCTCTTCTTTAAGGTTTTACTGTGCAAAACCTAAATGAAACAACCATAGATTAAGTAACTTACTAATGGGGCTACATTAATATATATATTTGTGCATCAGAAATCATGCTTATGCTGAAGTGTCTTAAATTACTTTCTTAGGTATTTTGGATACTCATATGTGAAAAGATAACAGAAATAATAACTGTAGCAAAGCTGTAATTTAGGTAATGTATGCCCGAAGTGGAACATAAAGACTTACAATTAGATGCCTGCATAAAGTAATGTTAAACACATAATTTCCAGTTACATCAGGGAAAGGTTAGTTCAGTGCTTATGAAAATAAGCCATCAGTTTAATTTGGGTACAGAGGCTTAGAAAAACAAGCAAATTTTAATATTTTTGTGCATATAAATAAGTCTATGAAATTGTAGTGATATTTTTGAGAAGTGGTGCTTAAATTCAGCTTATTAAACATGAATAACTACCAAGAAAACCCAACAAGACAAAACAAAAAAACCCATCAAAGCTCACATCCTCTTCCCCTTAACCATCCCACTCTGCTTTTCTTAGTTCTCTGACTAGTTAGTTTACAACCATTCATCTAAACACAGATTTTAAGCAGTACAATAAATACACGCTAGCTATTAAAAATTACCTTTTCTTATAAGCTAAGTGATAACTATGTTGTACTGTAGGGTTTCGTTCAAAAGTTTTATATCAATCAATGCAAAAAACCCTCTGCCATCACATTCTACTGATGAGGCATGAGTGACTCTCTTTAAATTAATGCTTTCTGGGAATGATATGAAAAAAAGAATATTTTTAGAAGAACATTAATTTAAATGTGAAAATGAAAGTGAAATAATTTACCTCCAATTCATGGCTGCTAATTCATTTATATATTCAGCGCAGTACACTAAGCCCACTGTACAACAAAAGAAAAATATCAGATTTAGTATTTCTTTAAACTGCCATCAGTTCTGCCATGTATACTAAAGATGTATACATGCCAGACATTAGAATTCCTTGATCCTCAGAAGATCAAATTACACATTTAATATATAATTGCACAAACCCAATTCTGACTTAAATGTCCCATTAAGTTACTAAGAAGTATAAAGTGATCACAAAACGTACCCACTATATTACAAACAAACAAACATAAAATCCTACTTATCTGAGCTTACAGAAAGAGCTCAGCATACAAATGAACTAAAAAAAAATAAAAAAAAATCAGTGACTACTTCTAAGTTATGTCTGTAAAAAGAAATGCCAGCACTCCCCAGAACTGGTATAGAATTAAGTTATCATTTTAGATGTTATGGTGTCACGCTGCTATAGCTAACATTACTATCTGAAGTTAGGGTACTATATATATATAAGCATTTTGGTAAAATACAAACTTTGTTTGAATAGGTGTATAGCAGAGTAGCCTGCTACAGTCAGGTGAAAACTAGCATATTCTTACTCAACAATTACTTGCAATATGAAGCCATCAAGGCAGTAAGAAAATTCAGCGCAATCACATGTTTAACAGAAAAGCAATACAACTACTAAATTTTAAGTTTGTCCTTGTATCATTTTCCACAAGAAACAATGCAAAAAAAACACATTCAGTGGCTAAAGATAACCTGCACAAGCAATTAAATAACTAGTTTGGTGATATGAAGGAGTGCTATCTTGTTTTGCCATCATCTGGATTATCTCTGCTTGGTACTGCACAGTATAAACATACCTATCGCTGCTTAGCTGCCAAGGAAAAACAGTGTGATAATTTCCTAATTTCCTCAGTTACTTCTGACTATCTACAATACAAAATTATTTATATTGCAGACATATCAATAGTGGTTCAGTTTTTCAGGTACAAACAAGACTTGGATGCAATATGGATATTTTTATGCGCTCTTCTTGTTAACAGCAAGTTTACATCATAGCTCTGTTAAAATGCCAGCAATGATCAGTTTCATTGCATTTTCCACTGCACTTAGACCTGGGGCATTCAAACTAGTGTTAGTAACACCAGGAATACTTTAGAGAAATAAAGAAAACAGCATGTCATTGGAAGTTCTGAATGTCTCAAGACAGAAAAGCCTGTGTTCTTATAGGGAACTTTCAGGCCCAACGTGTCATAAACAGGGCATTGTCATTTTGCCCTCTGTAGATCATTGTGAACTCTGCAGTTACAAATGGATGTATAGAAATTACTAAGGTTTCTAGATTCCTTTGTGGGGGTACTTAATGTTATTGAAACCTTAGCTTTAGCTGAGTTATTTGCAGTTTTGAGGAAGCTATGCTTCCTCTCCCAACTTGACTAGCTCACTAAATGGTATTTTAAAAAGTGAATGTAGTCTTCAAGTGGCTTTCTGCCTGCAAATCTCTTTCGATTGCTTATTCTTCCTGCAATCATGACAGAACTGAGGTACTGTGTAAAAAAATCCAACCCACCAGAAAATCCAACCCATGGCTAGAACCAAGCTACTGCTCATAATACGTGGATCTAACGCAAATCCATGCCATCTTAATTAAACTAAATACCCTCTGCAAAGCTACTAGATTTTCATCCAGTCATCTATAAAGACACAGCTTTGGCTAGGCAAGGCCACTGTGGATTCTCAAGCTGAAGTCTGATAAACCCTGAGATAACACAAGCTGCTACTGCAATGTACTGAACCAGTCTTGCTCTTCCTCATGCCATTATCACAGCTGTCAGCAGGGCGTATGGTGAACCTGCTCCAGAAACGTATCCAGCTGAAAGCTGACCACATTCACTGAGCTGCAGTATTTGAATCAGGCGGAGCAGAACGCAACTGCTGGCTCTCAGCCAATTTCTTTTCTGCTTCTCCAGCACAGCAAGAATTTCCTGGGAAGCTGTGATACACACAGCATTTACCAAGCAGAGAAACCTGACTTATCCCAGATCCTCACTAAGGACAGAGTTTTATGAAGTAGTCTTCACACAATCTTGGAAACTAAATAAATACATATTTATAGGTCATAGCAGCTTCTATAACAGTTTATCAGGTGTAGACACATGCGTTACTACAGGAGAAATACTAATTTGCACGCTCTTTATCTGCTGCAAAGCATACACACGTGTGCTGTGCAAGTACGTGAAGAAAACGGTTATCATTAAGAGACCAAAAGAAGCTACGTGACAGTACTAGCAGCTTAAACAATGCACATGCCCTTCATCACCCGAATGCCCGTTCACGCAAGCATGAATACAGGACTCACCCATGCAGAGGAAGTGCCCTATTTGCACCCGGTAGTGCTGGAAAGAGATGCACGTTAGGAGGAAGCAGAGGACATGGAAAACCGCCAGCCCCACCAGCCAGGGCTCGGACCAGTCCGTCTTCTACGGACAAAATAAAAGAAGATTAGGCTATGGCAGCAGAAGGAGTGTCACCAGGCAGCTAGAGCGAGCAGCTTTCCTTCTCCGGCACCGAAGCGACAGCCGATTTCAGTCACGGACCGCGCTCACCAGCCCGCCCCGTACCAAGCCGGGGAAGGGGCGAACAGCCCCGCGCGGGCTTCCCTCCCGGCCCCGGAGGGGCGCAGGCACACACGGCGGCCGGTGCCTCCTCCCCTCTCCCCCGGCCGCCCGCCAGCCCCGCTCCCGCGCCCCCCC